TTTTATGAGAACTGATGTAATTTTAAGAAAAGTTTTTGTTTAACTATTGGCTTAATAATTTTAAAGATTTATGTAGTTAAAATGCCGCCCCCGCCCCCGTGTTGTGTAACAAATAAAAATGCTGTTTTCAGTCTGAAGGCTGCTTCAGCTGCTTNACCGCCCCCGCCCCCGTGTTGTGTAACAAATAAAAATGCTGCTTTCAGTCTGAAGGCTGCTTCAGCTGCTTTAGCTGCTCTGGCTGCAACAGCGCTGACAGCCCGCAGGCTGAGAACATGCTTCAGAGGAGCCAAGGTCTCTGCCTGTGTTTTTTATTTTCGCCGTCTCCTCATCCCTCTTTCAAGGACCCCCAACTCGACTGGAGCTGGTCTCCGGCATAGAGTGACTATCGTGGCTCCTAAAACATAGCAAGCATGCCATGGGAGAATGTGGCACATTTATTTTAATGAAGTTATTTAGAGACATATGTGGGACAGTTCTCCCACCTTTCTCACTTACAGTTCTAAAAAATAACTAGAATGTGTTGGAAATGTGACATCCTGAGATAAAGGCAGAGCTAGCCAGAACAGCCCAGACTCTGTTACAGTTCCCTCCTAGAACAGGATATCTTTCAAATCTTTACCCAGTGATTCATGAGACCTCCAAGATATGTAACCCAGGGCAGGCTGCCTTTTGGGGTCCCTCATCTGCAGTGTGAGTGAGGCATGCACAGTTGAGACTCCATCTGCACTGGGTAGCTTTCTGAGCCTTGGGGGACTGGCTTACAATGAATCCTAGGCTTCTGTTGTCCTTCGCTGCCTATCTCTAAGTAATAAATCCACCTTATGTAACTTGTTGCCTATGCGCATGTTCTGTCTCACTGGACTCAGACCATTTGGTAATCAGTGCACAGTGAATCTACTATGAAGTAGATTCATAGGCATACTCATCTTTTTTGAGAACTCCTACCACAAATGCACCTATGGATCTTTCCATGGCTCTATCATATTGCGGCCAGTCCATGTTTCCAGTACTACATCTCCTACAAAACCACCTTTCAGCAGGCCCTAGTCCAGACTGTTCAAGAGTCAATGATGTGGCATAATGCAGAACAGTAAAAACTATGTCCCTCCCGTGCTCCCGTCGGCCTCCTCTTCAAGATGCAAGCCTCAGCAGTTCTTAACCACCCAGAATGCAGTCCTCTTACCAACTAGGGAACAGCACTTCATAAAATGATAGCAGCCACACCTCCCTCACTGCCTTCATACAGGCTACCTCAGAAATTCTTCTGCCTTACCTGAGAAACCTACAGCACAGCTCCTTCTGAAGTCAGGTTCGTCCATAAATTCAGCAACAGCAAACTGCAAAAGCAGGTACACTACCCCAGTGAGTAGGGAGAATGTGGTGATGACATAGGCAAACCATCTACTTCCCAGTCTTCTTTCCAGATTTATGCCTTTCCAGAGCATGGACACCATATTGAAATACAAATGCCAATCGTCAGCATGGTGAAAGGGAGAAAGCAGTAAACGTTGCCAGTCTTTTTGCTGGTAACACTTCTCCACGCTAAGGCAGGAGTAATACAGGGGCTTCAAAGGATTCAAGAAGAACCAAATGTTCAGAGCCAAAGTTGCTAGGGTGACAGGTGGAATATTGTTGATCCCAACATGGAACATTTGAGAAAAGAGCAGAATAAGCCCAGTATTAATCCCTCTTGATCTCCGCTGCATTGTTAAATACCAGAAAAACAGCCCCGGGATGGGAAAATGTGGTCAGATTTTAGGAATCTGGAGAGGTATACAGATAGATGAACCTAAAAAATAAAATGAAAATCTATCAATTAAGAATTAGTACATTGATAAGACATATTCACTTGAAGATGAGCTCACAGTAGGTATATCCTCCCTCCTATTTTAATGGCAATATCTATTTTCAATGTTTTCCAGAATAACATCCAGAAAACTGGCTGACTCCCTTCCTTCATTTACATTCTAAAATAGAAATTTTATCCCAAATTCCAATGGACCTGTTAATATGCTTTCTCTGACAAATATGCCATGAAATTATAATAATACATTAATTATATAATAACTATATTAATATATAGTAATTATATCAGTCTTCCTTGTAAACAAACTTGTAACCTAATGAAAAACCTACAAAGATAATGTGCAAATATTAAATAATGATTTCTATTGAGAATCCTGGCCAGGATTCTTTACCCCTTCCATTTTTTAAAAGAATTATTCAGTTTTGATATGTCAGAATGAGTTTGCTCCAAAGTTTTTAAATATCAACAAACAAGTTTTAAGATGCAAGTATACTTTATCTTCTATCTCAATTTCCATATTACCAGACATCAACTGCCTGAATGCTTTAATTTTACAAAAACTTCAGCTTTTAAAGATTACCTACTATGTGCCAAATCCTGGATTAAAACACAGTCCTTGTTTTTAAGGAGCTCACATCCCACTAAGAAGTAAACCAACAACTGCCACACAATGTTCTAAATGCAGCGACAGAAGGAGCCCAGAGGTGATGACATGGCTATGGTCTTACAAGGTGAGCTGGAGTTAGCAACAAGAAAGAGTTCCATGGTTCAACAGTCGACTTCTCCAGCCCCCTGATCTGAGCTGGCATTGTGGCATACTCTCTGGCTGACAGAATGTAGAGGGAGAGATACTACATGAGCTCCAAGCCTAGGCCTCAAGGTGATTTTCAGGCTTCTCTCTCATGAAACCCTCTCAAGCAACCATGTGGAGAAGTCTGGGCTAGCCTGTTGGATAATAAAAGAAAGACACCTGCTCTAGTCGCCCCAATGGCCCTGGCCACTAGCCAGCTAATGGCCCAGAAGCAAAGGTGTCTAGCTGACCACAGATGTACAAGTGAGTTCAGCTGAGCCCAGCCTAATCTGTTGATGCACAGAACAGTGAGCTAAATAAATGGTACTTGGTTTACTTCATCAAGTTTTGGAGTGATTTGTTATGCAGCAAACTAATACAGAACATATTTGCTCTGGGGAGGGACTGGTTTATGTTCGTGGGAAGAAGCTAGTAACAAAAGAGAGGGGGATAAGAGAGACAGACTAAAGATGAAAGAGATAAACAAAAAGAATAAAGTCTTGGAGGGAAGAGCCCTTTCCCCTTAAAACAAAGAAAGAAAAAAATGCTAGGTGTAGATGTGGGTAAATAGGCAGCTTAGGGGACAGGATGCTGAGAAAGTTCTCTTCTAACTCAGAGAGCATGTTGCATGATGCATAGGCTTTGGAGTAAAAAAAAAAAAAAAAAAAAAAAAGGCACATTTCTCCTACTTACTAGATCTGTGACTTAGGGCAAATCACTTTCTGAACTTCCTTCATTTTGAATTAGGAATGATAACTGATAACACCTCCTTCCAAGGATTATTGCGACATGCTTGTAACAAAGGAGGTGCTGAATAAATGGCAGCTACTATTTTAATTTCTATAAGGTAATCTCGCTATGGGAAAACTAATTCCTTTGAAAATGGTAGCATCCTAATAAGGCTTAAATGTGCTCCCTATCCCCCATATGAATTTTTATTATCAACATCACACCCAAAGCAATGCCCAAGAAAAAACTATGTATATACAGATTCTATTTTTCCATGAACTTTTTGAAGTACCTTCGTATGTGTATGCATGTGCATATATATATATATATATACTTAGCAACACACATATATAATTAGCCACATACATGCATACACACACATTATTAGCACAACCCAACTTTCTTTATTGTCATGGACTTATTATTGTAGCTCTGTAACCCTGTCATGAACTAGAGAATTTAATAAAATTTCAACTCAAAAGCTCCCAAATAACTTAGGAGAAATGGCCTAAATTTTTCATATTGGAACTCAAGTCAATTTTCAACTCTTCAACTACTGTGATGTTTTTGCAATTTCCCTAAATAATTATACACACACACAGACACACACACACACACACACACACACACAGGGGTACTTCAAAAAGTTGGTGGAAAAACAGAATTAAAAGATAACATGAAACTTTCCATCAACTTTTTGAAGTATCCGTGTGTGTGTGTGTGTGTGTGTGTGTGTGTGTGTGTGTGTATCAAACATAATTACCTATAATAGCGGCAATGAAAAAATATGGCCTTGATCTATTAAATAATCAGCTTACAAGAAATCATAAAACAAACCCTTCAATATAAGTGTAAATAGTATCCTATGAATGTTGGGCTATACACAGCAGAAAATCAAAACTAATCACACCTTCACTTAAGAAAAAGATCCCTCTCAATAGAAATCATTAGTGTTGAAAAGCGTAAGTGAAAGGATATAATTTCCCCAGTCTTACTTCACACTGTACACTCAGGCGTATAATTCATTACATCTGGCCAAATCCAAAGGTTTCTTTCCATTTCCATTCCTTCTCACTTCCCAGCTCTCTCCCCCCACTGTTGACGGCTCCTACTTCCTGAGTCCAGGGGACACCTTGCTCTCCTGCAACTTCACCCCTCCTTCTAATCTCCCTTTCTCTGCTTTTCACTTTTCCTCTGTCTTTACTCTGTCTTGCACACACTCATGGACTTCCACTCTCATAGTTTTTGTAACACTTTTCATCAGGATGATTCCCAACTTTATATTTTTCAGCCTGATTGATCAGCAGGTTTCAGGGACATAATCTTATGGGAAGAATACGGTCTGCCTGATGTCTTGGTTTCTGAAAACTAAATTATCCTTTCCCACAGAATGATGATTCAGCCATTCCTTCTTTCACTCATCTATTTAATAAATATTTATGAAATGTCAAATGCGTACCAGGAACTGGAGGCACAGCAAAGAACGAAACAGTTATAATCTAAGCCCCTAAATGGCTCATTTCTGTTTTTTGGAAAAAATAATATTGAAATAAAAATACTGGCTTCAGGAAATCAAAAGATAAATAAAACTACGTGGTTCAAATCCTCAGTGAATGACTTATCTGTGCTGCATAAAACTCAAAATTTATGTTCTACCTATGCTGGCATTCTAGTGGCCTTTGTTTGCGAAAGTATGCATTCACTGAGGATAAGTCACTCCTATTTTATAATGACTCTATAGCCCAGTTTCCTTCCTAATGAATTATCAAGTCAGCCATCCAAGATGACGGATGCAGCCAGTCCTAAGGAACTTAAATCCAACTGGTCCTTGTGAAGATCAAATCCGTAACTTGACCTTGTGGGCCAGGCAGACATATTTCTAGGAACACCAAGGAAAACAGATCACAATAAGTGAGCTTTGACCATAAAATGAACATTGTTAATGTCCTGCCCATGAATTACACAAAAATTTTTAGAGTGCCGTGCTGTATGAGAGATCATAGAGACGTGATCAATTATAGCAACTTATCTATGATCTGGAAACCTATATAATCTGTTTGGTTTTGGAAGTAGTTTATATGTTCTACCTTGTACCCAGACCATAAACTAGAGCTCAAAGAAGAGCAAGCTACACCCTGCACTTCCCTACCTCATAAACATATCCCCCTTCCCACAGACTTAACATGCCCCAAATTGAACACTGAACTGTCCCTCCCAAATATGCTCCTCCTATCATGTCCCCCATCTCAGGACATGGAATCTCCATCTATCCAGTTGTTCAAGTTGAAGATGTAGAAAATATCCTCGACATGTCCTTTGCCTTCATCACTCCACCATCCCCAAATCCTATCCACCAAATTTTGTTTATTCTTCTTTCAAGCAGGTTTTTTCAACCTACTTCTTTCTAGCTCTACAGCCACTACTCTAGTCTAAGCCACCATCATAACTTGCCTGATTACAACAAAATTCAACCAACTGGATTCTCTGCTTCTCCTCTGATACCCTCCAATGATTTTCCACCACTGCTCATAGTAATCTTGTATAAAACTGAAGTTGGATTCCCCAGCAATAAGCCTTCAATGGCTTAGAATTACAGTGAAAATAAAGTACAAACTCTTTACCATAATTATCTGCTTGTTATCACCAGTGCCCTGCCCACCCCTCCAGTCTCATCTCACACTAATCTCTGCCTCAGTCACTATGCTCCAGCCACGTAAGAGCTCCCTTATAAGGAGCTCCACGATTGCAGTATAACTGGTGAAGGGCAAGAATTATCTTATCCATTTTGATCACCAGGAATACCCAGAGCCACCCCATGACCACTACAAATACACAGTGGCTGACATATGGTCCATGCTTAATAATTATTTTCCACATGATTCAAGATTAGTATTTTTTTAATGTATCTACATTATATAATAAATGAAAATGATTAAGTCTGAATACCTATGATATGTTCATCCTTAAGTATTTTTCTTGTAATTGTAACAATCTATCCCATAGCACTATACATATTATTCCACTTAGCATTTTTATTTCCAGAACAATATTGATAACATTTATCTCAACTTTATAGAAATAAACCTCTGACCCATTTAAAATGTATTGATAAGTTGCTTCACCAGAACTATCTAACAACAAAAATAGCATTTTAGTTATGTAGTAATACACAGTAGACAGCATTATATCAAGGTGTGGCAGAGAGAAATGGAAGATTTCTTGAAACACTGATAGGAAAATTAGCCATATTTACATTTAATGAGAAATTAAAAATTAAACAGGTACGTAATAAGAAAATCTAAGTGGCTAGAACAAACAAAAGAAACTGAATTCATAACTTGGGAAACTAATGTGCCTCAAGGGGGAGAGAAAGGAGTAAAAAGGGGAAAGAAACTAATTGCAGTGATTTTCAATTCTACTTACCAAGCAGA